AAACTGAACACCAAAATAATTAATACAGAAATGAGTTTTCAATCTAGATGACTTAAAAGTGCATAGCTCCAGCGGCTTCCTAACATCTGAAGGAAGAACGTTCCAGACGGCCGCATAAGCGCTTCTGACAGCGCCGCGCGATGCGGTCATCATCATCAGCAGCAGTAAGGATCATTCCACTGCTGGATGAACGCCTTCACAAACCGTCGCCTTTCCTACGACAGTCCTGCGATGTAGCGATCCATCTCGCACCTGCACACGAGCTGATTTCATCGCTCCATCTCCGTAGCGGATGTCCTCCTTTCGGGCGGGTTTCCCTCCATTGGCTGCCACACCGTGGGTTATTCTTCACGACCCACCCCCCCTGCTTTATTTAATTATCATCACCATTGGCCACGGTCCATCCATTGCCGGATGAAAGTCTCCAAATTCCCTTTAATTAACGGCGAGCACCAATGAAGGCCGGCGCGTCGCACGAGGGGGTGGGTGGCCAGCACCACCAGATCATCGTCACCGGTGTTGGCCGGGTAACTAGGTTCGTGGCGCAGCGCGCTGACCGCTGCACTCTCACTCCCCACACCAACCCACCGCTCAGCATGCAGCCACTGGAGGTCGCTATGTTCACGAAGTTCGTTGACAATTTAAGTCTCAAAATCGAACTTCTTTGAGTCTGGATCATGACAATTCATTCGAATTGGCGGCTGCTGCGGCTTGGGGTTTGAGGGGGTTGGTGGCGAAACGTCGGGACACCCCGCAGATGTGTGTAACGAATGCACAGAGTGGCCGCAGCACCCGTTGTGCCGCCGACTCACACCACCACCACCACGCGCCCGCATTGCGCGCGCACTCTGCTCGAAATAGCCACGTGCGCGGAATCCGTATCGGGCAGCCACCACCACCACCACCCCTACCAATGGCTGTGTCCAGGCAGGAGAGGGAGGGATGGAAGAGGCGGAGGCGGGGGGTGGGGGGTTAATTTCCCAACAGAAATATTTTTCCGGGTAGCTGGAAGAAGAACGAGAGTGTAGGCACGTGATCAGTAGCCACAGTCACGGCGAAGAGGGGAATCATGGATGTGGTGTGCCGGGATGCGGTACATGTTTTCCTTAACCGGCACCCGGACAGACAGTTGAAGTTGTACCCTCCATAGTCATAGTACTACCCCTGAAGTACTTTATTATTATTATACAGGGTCGTATCAAATTGACTTCGCTACTGCTACCACTGCTGCTGCTGCTGCTGTGAGCACCGATGACGCTTCGTCTGCGTGCCGGGTGTCTCGGAAAATGGACTCGTGAACGCGTGCTGGACACTGCGCGCTCGTTACATTCTCCCAATGAAATATTTAGTTGTTTTACAACAACAACAACAACAACAGCAACATAAAACATTGGACGCACAGTACTGACGGTCAATGAGCACGTGGGCTTTAGCTCGCGTCGCTCTCTCACAGTGCCGTCGTAACTCGATGCGCGCTCGGGAGGGGAGGGGGGGGGGGGGTCCCTGACCTCGTCTCGTCCCGTCGGCCGCAAGCGTCTCAACAGCGTGAGAGGTTGCGCGGTGTCGCGATCCATTTCCCTCCGACGGTGGACATGCCTCCGACGAGCAAGCGTTGGCTACCTACGTACGGTGCGAAAGAAGTTCAACATACACGTACATATGCGGGCACAGATTGTGGCGATTTAGGAACGGAGATTCCCCACTTTTACCGTCTCATTTGTGTTGTTTCGAGTGTTTTAATTTCTGTCTCGTTGGTAATTGTCTTCGCTCTATTATTTCTTAATGTAGTCAATATTTGCATTCACAGAAAATGCGTACATTCTTACACGGGTGGCTGGCATCACGACGGCCCTTGCGAGCTTATGCGAACCGTGTAATCGACGCACGGTCACACTCACTCCCTGTGTGTTCATCATGTTCCACCCTCGTCCTCGGCTCCCACCCTCTGCTTTCAAATGCAATGGTAACGAGTGGCAATGCCCCACAGACGGCGGCAGCCATACGAACTACCAAGATACAGGTGGGGGTGACGTGTGTGGAGCAGCAGCGAAGCTCACGCGTGTGCAGGCGGTGCAATTGCACCGTGGTCCATGAGCCGGAGGGGCACAGAGAAGGGAATTGTAAAGGGGAGGGCCCCCCGGGAGGAGAAGGGGGAGCCCCCCACTCCCCACCAAGCTACTAAGATCCTGATGTCGCGTGAAGCTTAGTCAAGTGCTTTGGTGGATGCTGCCACAGGGGGTGCTGTCAAGGACGGAGGCTGTTATGTTTGAATCAACAGCACGCGCTGTTATCAATGTCCACGTGATAAGCCCACTTCGTTGAGCTATCATTTGTGACCAGGTAGCTTCTGGAAAAGAGCTACGTAACCCAGTGGGCCTTACCTGCTAAACTACAAATAGTATGGGTGGTTAGAAACTATTAAACTAAAGAGTTTTTTATTTTTTTTATTTTTTTTATTTTACCAGGTAAGGCTCACTGAGGAATATAGCTATTTTTCAGAAGCGACCTGGCCACATGACAGCTCAAAGAAGAGGCTATCATATGGAAATGTATAGCGATTCAAATACTCGAAACGCGTGATGTTCATTCTAAATGTGGATGGAAAACACCTGGAGGACCCGGAGCAAAATACACGTGACCACGGGGAGACAGAGAGACGGAGACCACACACACTCCAAAATATACAGCAGCCGTCATGGTCGGGATCGAACCCACGACCCTCCTGCATACCAGGCGAGGAAGTTCACATCTCGCCACGGTGGCGGAGAGGGGAGCCTTCTGCTGCAAGGGCTTGAAGGCTTCAGAGGCTCCGACGCGCGTAAGAACGTGGGATGTCTCGCGTCACGAATACAGCGAATGGCACCGACGAATTCGTGGGATCGACGCGCTGTGAAGGGTGAACGGGTTCGGGTGCGAGGAGAGTGCGAGGGGGCGTGCAGTTGTGTGCGTACGTCACAGTTGTGTGCGTACGTCACAGTTGTGTGCGTACGTCACAGTTGTGTGCGTACGTCACCACAGAGATCCCCCTCCCCACCGCCCCCCAATATGTTTATGTATATTCTTTGGGTCTTTCGGTAAAGTCACGTAGATAGGTTCAAATTAATAAAAATAAACAAATATTAATGTGAACTTATCTACGTGACTTTAGACCCAAAGAATATGAATTTCTGCAGTCACGAAAGCTGTAAGTCAAGATGTTGATGTATAGTTACACATCTCGTGGTGCACCGAGTAGACCCAGCGTGGTGAAATATGGTCAAACAAGCAACAATCCCCATGACCTACACGGCGCTCGGGGAAGCCTTCATCCAGCAGTGGATTGCCAAAGTATCTGTCAACATCGTTAAACGACGGATGTCTTCACAATAATCCAAACAGACACGAGGAGATACAACGCTGTGCGTCGTACAGCCAGCCCTCTCTTTATCTCCCTCGCTCTCTCTTTTTTTTACGATCAGTGGAAACAAGAAGATGCTCGGTGTAGTCGGCACTTTGCTTCGTTCATCATTTCGTAATTTTTTTTTACTTTGCTTTATGTAAACCCCCACCTCTCGCTCGCTCGCTCACTCTCTCGCTCACTCTCTCACCCTCTCCCCATGCACACTGCACACTCCCCACTCTCCAACCCTCCCCCTTATTCCATTTCAAGAACAACACAGGAGCCGGTCAAGCACAGAGGTCCTCTCTGCGTGACCCCCAGTCAAAAGGCGGGGAGACGGAGGGAGGGAGACGGAGGGAGGAGGGAGGAGAGGGAGGAGAGAGGAGAGGAGTGGGTACATTGGTTGCCACCGAGCAGAGGGGGAGTTCAAAGAATGAAGGATTAAAATAACCCCTCCTACCCTTGACAGACACGAGTTCTAACCCCCCCACCCACCCCCCCGGGTTACATTGAGGCACCCTTGGCTCCAGCAGAACACGAGAGCAGCGTGGTGGGGTTAGTGAGTGAGTGATGGAGGGAGGAGAGGGAGGGAAGGAGGTCAGTGGGGTCAAGGGAGATGATGAGGTTGGTGGTGGAGCGGCAGGAGCGGCGGAGGGCCGATGGGATCTAGCTCAGTAGGGTGGTGGGATCAAGGCCAGCTGAGACTTTTTGGGGAATTCGGAGATCGAAGCGAGAGAGGAAACTTGATCCAAAAAAGTAGAGGTCAAGGTGGGGGACTGGCTCGGGTGAAGAGGGTTGTGGTAGTGGCAGGGTCTTTGCTTGTAAGGTCAATCAAGGGAGGTACAGGAGTGAGTGTGTGTGTGTGCCGGGGGGGGGGGGGGGGTGGGGTAGTTATTAGCGTACTGCTATACGAACCCCGGCTATTTAAGTCGGACAATTTCCGCTCACGCTCAACATCGGTGACGAATATCTGAAACAACTCTGGGGGACAACCCCAATGTCGACTCATCCTCAAACGAGTACTGCCCGGTGCGGGGTGTAGACATCATCACCGGGGAGACAAAGGCGGCCGGGCGTTACAGCTGGCCACACCAGCCACTCGTGTGCAGCCGCTGGCCTTTTCCCTATAGGTGTTCGCTTGGCAGCGCTCTTGCCCCGACGGCCTGTGCAGGCTATACGGGAGATCTTTGTCTTTATAATTTTTTTTGTACGGTGGTGGGAGGGGGGTGGTAGGCGAGGTGAGGGTGGGGTGGGTGGTTGGTGGTGGGGGTGTTAGTGGGCGGAGGGATCGCGGGGCTTCACTGGGAACTGGTGGAGTCAAGGGGGAGGATTGTCCGTCTGGGGAGAGCCACGGCAGCTTCGCTGTCAGGCGTGGGGATGTCGGACGCCCGTTCGAGAAGACAGCGAGCGGGTCATCAGCATAGCCACGCATAGCCGGGCCTCTCTCACTCTCTATATATATAAACACCCACCCACCCAAACCTACCAACCCATCGCACCCACCCACCCACCAGCCCACCGACCGACCCACCCACCAACCCGCCCACCCACCAGCCCACCGACCCACCCGCCCACCCATCGCGCAGCCCCCTCTCGACTCGCGCAGTCGCCTCGACGTCGGCACGGGTCCATCGCGCCTCTCTCACAGCCCCACCATCGTGACATCGCAATCATCATCACAATTATTATTATCAGCGTTTATGTAAAACATTTTTTTTTTTTTACAATCGTAGGGCATTTTTACATCGTGGCAGACGTGGGCAAGGTGTTGGGGGGGGGGGGGGCGGTTGGTGTGTTTGTCTCCGTTGGGTGGATTGCAAGCACGTTCGTGAGAAGATAAATCAGTTCGCGTAAGAACGTCAAGGTTGATTTTACGTCGAGGCTCATCGAGGAGGCAACTGGTAACGTCGCCGTTGAACGTTCGCACAACGTCCGTGCCGGCACGCCTGTGGGGACAGAGAGAGAGAGAGAGGGGGATTGAGAGGAATAACACTCTTCCTTGCCGTTGAAGTCACTCGCGTGGAAGAGCTGTCCTCAAGGTAACAAAAAAAAAGCCACGTGCAAAAAGTTCGCTGTCGTTCTAAAGGTCTGGCTGTCGGCGGAAAGTGTTCCGTTATCTCGCGGTTTAATGTCCGTGTTGAAGATATTATCGCCTGCGCGTATATTTACCCCCTTGATTGATCGTACGTAGATTAATACGGCACGCTATTCCGAGGCGCTTTACGGCAAATTATAAAATTGGACATTTTGCAATCTGCGAAAGGGGACGCTTCGTAGTTCGTCGGATTCCTCCCGTTTACATCAAGATTCTCGACACCAACAAGAGGATGATTCTGCTGAAAGTGGTCGAGACAAAGAGTGAGAGTTAGTGAAAGTGGCGGTGCAGTTGTGGCGACAGGACAGGCGGGAGAGGTTCAAGGCGAGATTTGGGACTCGGACTGTTTCACTCGTGCGCCTGCGATTACCATAATAGTTGTACGAATTATTTGTACGGCTACGTTTTGTCGCGAGAAAAACGAGATTCTCAATTAGACGGTCGCACCGTTAACTCTCATCTGATTCGTGCAATTGATATTGAGGGCAGAGATTGGTATTTAAGATTGCTGTTCAAGATAGTGGGGATGCGCTGGGTCGCGCTCCATAAAGCAACGATGACTCACGTGACGGAGATCATTGTTGAGAGATACGGAACACTCACCACGCTTCTGGTATCGTAATTAGGGACACGTCTCGTACAGCGCATCTCAATGTAGCTATTTATTCACGGTGATGCGGTCGAAATAATGGAATAGTCGTGCGTGCTTGACTATCACGCGATTATTCTCAAAATAGACAAACGCGAACTTACCAGGACATAAATTGGTCCACAGCACGCCACACACGCGCGCGCGCATAATTTTCAAGAGACAGAAATTAGCATTAAGGTTATTAATAACTACAACTCAACAGAAGACAAGGGCTTGCTGACTCACAGTCACTGCCCCCCCCCTCTCCCACCCATCCCCCAACTCCCCCCCCATTTCACTCTCCTGGCCATCCAGCAGCCCTCACACCCCCCGAACAAACACCAACGACCATCTCACCGCCACCGTCGCGACCGATCGAGCCATCATCGTTATCGTCGTCATCCCGAGCCACCTCGTGTGGGGGGTGGTGGTGGTGTGGGGGGTGGTGGTGGTGGTGGTGTGGGGGGTGGTGGTGGTGGTGGGGACTCCGCAATGACGGTGAGCGGAGAAGCGGCCAGGGACGAGGTGGACTGCGGGGGCTCTCAGACCCCGCGTGCCGACGGCTTCCGCTGCGAGCCCGAGCTGAGCGGCCACGAATTCTGCGAGCGCGTGGTGGTGAACGTCTCCGGCCTGCGCTTCGAGACGCAGCTGCGCACGCTCGCGTACTTCCCCGACACGCTGCTGGGCGACCCCCAGAAGCGGATGCGCTACTTCGACCCGCTGCGCAACGAGTACTTCTTCGACCGAAACCGACCGAGCTTCGATGCCATCCTCTACTACTACCAGTCGCGCGGCAAACTGCGCAGGCCGACCAACGTGCCCTACGACATCTTCGCCGAGGAGGTGCGCTTCTACGAGCTCGGCGAGGAGACGATGGCGCGCTACCGCGAGGACGAGGGCTACGTGAAGGAGGAGGAGAAGCCGCTGCCCGAGAACGCGCTCCAGCGCCAGGTGTGGCTCCTCTTCGAGTACCCGGAAAGCTCGAACCCCGCGCGCGTCATCGCCATCGTGTCCGTGCTCGTCATCGTCATCTCCATCGTCATCTTCGTGGCGGAGACACTGCCCGAGTTCCGCGACGACAAGGACCTCCACTCGGGCACGCGCCACGAAGTCGGTGCCGGCGACGCTGCTGGCAACGGCAGCAGCGGCGGCAGCAGCGGAGGCAGCGGAGGCAGCGGCCACGCGCACGGAGGTCACGTGCACCCGGGCGGTGGCGGTGGCGCGCTCGGCCACGGCTACGGCCACGTGCCCGGCGTGCACGCGGCCGTCCCGCACGGCCGCGGGAGGCCCACCCCCGAGTTCGGCAAAGACCCGTTCTTCATCGTGGAGACCGTGTGCATCGTGTGGTTTAGCTTCGAGCTGCTCGTGCGCTTCTGCGCGTGCCCCAGCAAGCCGGGCTTCTTCAAGAACATCATGAACACTATCGACATCGTGGCCATCATGCCCTACTTCATCACGCTGGGCACGGAGCTCGCGGCGCAAGACACGGGCGCCAACAACGGGCAGCAGACGATGTCGCTCGCCATCCTCAGGGTCATCCGGCTGGTGCGCGTCTTCAGGATCTTCAAGCTGTCGCGCCACTCCAAGGGGCTGCAGATCCTGGGCCAGACGCTGCGCGCGTCGATGCGCGAGCTGGGCCTCCTCATCTTCTTCCTTTTCATCGGCGTCATCCTCTTCTCGAGCGCGATTTATTTTGCCGAGGTTGACGAGCCCAACACGCACTTCCACAGCATCCCCGAGGCCTTCTGGTGGTCGCTCGTCACCATGACCACGGTGGGCTACGGAGACATGTTCCCCGTGACGCTGGGCGGCAAGATCGTGGGCTCGCTGTGCGCCATCGCGGGCGTGCTCACGATCGCTCTGCCCGTGCCCGTCATCGTGTCCAACTTCAACTACTTCTACCACCGCGGCTCGGAGGCCGAAGAGCAGACGCTGTGCGCGCAGGAGGACAGCGGCGGCAGCTGCGAGGCCGGCAACCAGATCAAGAGGAGTAACAGCATCTCGTCCGTCAGCAAGTCCGAGTACATGGACGACCTGGCCTTCCTGGGACCCAACTACATCGAGTGACGCTCCTAGTGAGTGGCTCTCTGCCTCTCCGACATTTGTGTTTGGTTGTTGCTGTTGTTGTTGTTTCACGGCAAACTTGCACTGCGCTGCGGGCGTGTGTCCGCGGTGCGTCTGTCCACACACGTTTGGGATGGAACCGGAGGGTCGAAGCTCATTGGCGCACTGCGCGACGAACCCTGCCACCAACGTTCGATATTCGGCGAGTGATATCTGAACCGGTCTTGGGCTTCCACTAGGTCGACTCAGCCCTAAGTGAGTACCTGGTGTGGTGTGCAAGCATCATGGCCGAGGGATACAAAGGTGGCCAGGCGTGGCGCTGGTAACACCACCCACCTCGCGTGCCCTTCCAGCCTTCGTAGGTGCTCTTTAAGAGCACTTGCCCCAACAGCCTAGGTCGGCTGCATGGAGAAGCTTTGTCTTGTTTTGTCCACACGCATGGGGCTATGGCGACGCAGTGGTCAGTGGTGTGATGCTGGTGACGCTTTTTCGACTGCTGACCGAGCCTGGCGTGGTAGTTTCGTTGGGGCAACACGTTTAAAAAAATAATTGAGGAGCTGGAGATCCGGCAGTGCCATGTCCTTTGGCCACATCACTCCTCTCGAGTTCTGTGCCGATCCTTCTTAATGCGTTCTTACCAACAACAAAAACACTCTTTAATTTTACCAGGTGCAAGGCCCACTGAGCTACTTAGCTCTTTTTCAGAAGCCACCTGGTTATCACAAATGATAGCTCAACGAAGTGGCTTATCATGTGGAAATGTATAGCAGCCAAACACTCTAAACGCGCGTGTGTAAATGTGGAGGGGAAAACCGGAGGACCCCGAGAAAAATTCACGCGACCACGGGGAGAAACACGCACGCTCCTAATAGAGGGCAGCAGGCGTCAGGGTCGGGATCGAACGCACGACCTCCTGCGTACCAGGCGAGGTAGTCGACATCTCGCCACCGTGGCGCCCAACCAAGGCTCGCCACGAGAGTGTGATTGTTTAATTTATTTATACGCACTAAGCACAAAATGCTAAGATCGTCGTCGTCGTCGTCTTGATCTGACGGAATCAACGCCCCACGTTTGTTATCGATATCGGTACAGATGGGGGGGGGGGCGCCCCCCGGGGCAAGTGGTTGACAGAGTCGGCAACCACGCAGCGAAGTTGTCGTCTCCGCGACGCTTCACGGCGGGTGCCCCACGAATCACCGACGTTGCAGTCGGGGACATTTCAGACTTTAGTCCACCTCGGACGGTGATCGGACGGCTCCCGTGGTGACGTGTCAGAGTGGGCAGCTTCACAGGGTAAGGGCGGTGTTCTCGCCTAAACCACGTGTGAGTAAGAGGAGAAAGATATAAAAAAAAATCTGGGTCAACTCTCAATGAGTTCATAATAGAGGTGTTTGTTTTTGGGGTTAGATCGCGTGAATCTAAATGTGTCGTTAAACCCGCCACCACCCGACTCGGCCAATTGGTAAGGTTTGTCACGGTAAACAAAACGTGCCAAGTCGTTAATAGTTGGGCACACCGGTGTGTTGGAGAGTAAACCCACTACATTTACTATTCGAGTACGAGGTTTCGCCGATAATTACAATCAACTTCAACAGGCGACAGCCAGATCAATAAGTTAAAACCACTTATTCACGTAAGAACTTAGCGTTGCGGGATGCTATTCGCATTAATGACGCTATATAATATGAAAGTATTATTGTTAATTTAATTATTATTAACTTAATTTGTGGCGGTGACATGGCCAAGCAGCAGTAGTGGGGTTTACCGCTTGTTGCAGATGATTTCGGTTAATACTGCGGGTGTGTTAAACACAAATAGGAGCCGTCCACACCACAGAGGACGTTTAAGTTCCCGTCACTTCATTTGGAAGAGTGGGCCGTGTGTGCCGACGTCATGAGCCCAAATCTGAAGCATTACTAAAAATGTAATCAATTGTAACAACCAATTGGCAAATATTCACCCACTCGCAGGCCAGTGCTGTGTTGTCGCCTTGTGCCGCACAGAGACAGCTGCCATTAGTGGGTCCCCTTAGGTTAAGATCACAAAAAAGTGCGCTCCGAGACATTACATTACATTCTGAGCGCAATGTAAATGTAAGTATTGTTAAAATATTTCATTTGACTTTCGCATTGCTTGAAAGGAAATCTCGATTGCAAGTCGTCCACTCAAGAGATGTTTCTTTTGGATCTGTCGGGGATAGCGAACTTGAAGGATCAATCGTCTATCAAGGTGTCTGAAATTTCGAGGAAGCGCCTTCGTCCACAGTTGCTTCTGTGCATCGACTGTGATAGAGCAGAAGTTGTGGGTACAAACCCAAAATACTTCGAAGATCTCAAAGAGTGGGGACAGCCCGTGGTCCTTCACGATGGCAAACCGCTCATCTGCAGCATCGAGTGTGCAGGGGTGACTTGCCATGCCATGAATCGATTGTTACGGGGACAATTGTGGGTACAAGCCCAGCGTGTCCCAGAGTTCTCGAAGAGCGGGACAGAGGTTGTTCAAGACGGAGAGCCTCTTGTCTGCAGCACGGAGTCTGCAGGCGTGATGTGAATGACGGACAATTGTAATCTTTACCTGCGCAAGCCTCAACGAGTCCTAAACGGCCGTGTTTCAAGGAGTGTTCTGCTTGTTGTTGTTTGGCCAGTTCGTTTTTGAAATATTTTTGTACAATTATTTGTATGCATGATACGGAAATGGCAATGCTCAGAGACAACTATGCATAACGGAAGGGGGGAGCTGTTGCTCAACACTCCCATTGTACAGCTAGCCCATCAGGAACATAAGCGACCCTCTCGGAATCAAGCTGGTTATGATGCTGTCCCATCTACAGCCATCGACGCCATCACCTCGGTGCTCAAAGGTCTCACGGAACGTAATCACCTGTGGCCCAATGCTGGAATCAGAGATTCAGGACTCTCATCCCGGCACAGCCCATCGGCTCAACGTCCTCCACGTCACGTGCAGTGGCGTAGCAATCGAGTGTGCAGGCGGTGCAACTGCACCCGGGGGCCCACAGTATGGCGGGGGCCCATGCGTTTGGCCTACGAAGAGAGGGGCGGGGGTGTGGGGGGGGGGGCCCATTTCATTCCTTGGGGCAGGGCCCATGCCAACCCGCGACTACGCCACTGGTTACTTGGTCACGTCGAGATGTGCATCACCAGAGTCGTGACGTTCTTATTTATTCGTGAAAAAGAAACGGGATTTTACACAAACCAGAAAGACAACAACTATGGCGGTTCACGTGACGGGACGTTGTAAAGGGCTTGACACAGAGATGAATTCTGTAACTCACATTCACCTTTATATATAAAAACACAACTGAAATGATTAAATGCTATCAATTTGAAATTTGCAGTACCTTTGCATTTTATATTCTCCATTGAAATGTCACCTTTGACCGGTCATTTCTGAACATGCCACAGCCATGAATTTTCTGCACAATGTCATTGCAAGGTGTTTTTAATCCGTTGTCATGTTCTACTTTTTACGTCTCTGCAACAGTATTATGTTAGGTGCGTTATCCGAGAATGTATAGCTTGGGGACAAGCGACTGATTTGTAAATGTTTTGTTGCTATGTACATATTCTTATTATATATTTAATGGAATGGCATCGCGCAAATCTTAAGCCAAATAACATACTGACGAACGTTTTACACATAAAGGACCTTTTAAAACAACAAACCAACAAAACGTGAACTCGTTTAATTGAAATCGTAAATGTTTTCCGTTTATCGGCTCGTATGTTCGCGTTCACGTTTTTTTTAAACACGTGATGGAAGTTGGAGCGCCCATAATCAACATGGCCTTTCTCACTCATTATTTATGAATTTAATTTATTACCAAGCATATGCGAGGTGGAGTTATATTTCTATATTTTTTTAATTTGTCGAGGTGACCAGGTGGCTGAGTGGACTCATAACGACCCTGTGAGGCCGGGTCAGCATTGCCAAGATCCTGGATTAGAATCTCAGGTTCGCAGTCACAGCAGCGATTAAAACCAGAAGTATAACAGCGCTGGCAGCCCGCCAGCGTCGAAGGAGAGTGCAGCCTCCCGCTAGGAGTAAGATTACAGCTGTATTTTTAATTATTCGATCACTCCTCCGATTATTCGTTCGATATTACTTGACTCATCAGATAACGCGAAAATAGTTGGGGGAGTAGGGGGTCGCGGAAGGGGTTAAATCGCACTTCTATTCCCACGTGTGCCGCTGGACGGGAGGTGAGCTGCGGTGCTTGGTGACGTCATCAGTCACGTCACCCTGTGCATTGTGCGGGTGGGCCACCGTTATTTGTTGTCGTTTAAAGGGGTCCAGCAATCGACCATACAAAGTACGAGGCGCAGTAGTAAGTTCGAGTCGATGGAGAAACTTCGTTGACGAATTTTTTTCCTACTGGACATCTGTGAAAAAAGAGCTTTATAGCTCATCGGATTCGTCCTGTATCAATAACGATTCCGATTCTGAGATGCCATTTTGGGGTTGGACCCAAACGTTGATTTGTCAGCGGTGAATTCCAGATGTTCACGCCGTGGACATCCATACATTCATTCGTTTGTCAACCAGTTACCGTATGTGGTTTGATCACCCTTTATGTCTACACCAAGGAAGCAAACTTTTGTAATCTGCGCTTTTGCGTTTTAACATCTAGCAATGTATATGTATAAGAATGGTAACCTGTAAACAGACTCTTCGTGATGACATGCAACAATTGAAGTTGACAGAATGACGGCGTTTTATTGCATGATTCGAAAAACTGAAATGTCAACGGAATTTGTTTTCAAGCATTTTGGCTTCAATGGACCTGGTGTCATTATACATGGCATTGCCACGACGATTTGGAGTCTGCCCATGAAGGTTATTAGTGTTAATCGCCCAACGGTGGGACACGTTTTAGCATACAGTATCTTTAGGTTCACACCACTGCTAAAACGGGGTTGACGTAAACAATACACTGTATATATATGTTCGTTTACGAAGAAAAGCTTGACTTGGTCTCAAGACTCAATTTCAGGATGGTTCTACAACGGGATGTTTGAGCCTTCATTGTTCTTGTTGTTGCATGTGGTAGTAGACCACAGTGCCTGGAGAGAGAAAAAAAACTAATGGGTTTGAGGGGAGAGATGTAAAGCTGAACAGCGAGCTTACAAAAATACATATTTAAAGCTTTCGTGACTGCAGGGATTCATGTGCTTGGAACTTTCGGTAAAGTCACGTACAAGGGAAATAAAAATAGAACATAATAAAATTCTCACGACGTTTCGGCCACAACACATGCAGCCGTCCTCAGGTGAGAATTTGATTACGATTAATGATTTATTATTTTATTATTTTCCTTCTACGTGACTTTACCGAAAGATCCAAGAATATAAAAAAATACATAGTTGCTGCACTCCTGTAGTAGTTAATGCCTCTGGGGTCAGTCGTGATACGGTAATTAGCACAGGTGTAGCGATGCTTCGATCCATATCGATCCTGTTACGCTCCATGATAAGCGCATGAAATCGCGTGTTTTTTGGAAATCGATGTTAACATGCCGCATGTAAATGTATTTACGCGGGCCCCATTGTTAAAAAAACAGAATCGATTTTGAATTTAGTTGCGACTGAGAATTCAGAAGTTAAATGTTTTACGGTGAGTTATTTCAATGCCTGGGTTCACCATTTCTCATTTCTGATGGACTCTGGAGTTCGAGAATTCTTCTATAGCACACACATGGGCTTTGACGATGAATTCGCATAAGAAAATGCAAAGAAAGAATTGGTCAAAGTGCAGGCATTAATATCACAATATATATTGTTTAAAGATGTCCTGCTCAAGTGAGAACTGAGTTCGTGTTCATCTCCTCTTGAGAGCCCTGAGCCAAAGTTGGACATTCCACATTCCCATGGTTGGGGCGAGTCTCACCAAAGGACAATGTATTGCTTATTTTATCGACCCCGGAGGCATGATGATAATAACGATGAACCGAGTTGACACCCCCCTCCCAACCACGATTTTAACTCAAAACCTTCCGAAACGCCAAGCCGTCTGGCCGAATCCTTACCCACAATTACACGAAACGAAAAAAAACCCAACCCACAAAAAACTTCTGAGCGAGCGGGTATACGGACGTGCAAAAAAAAAAAACGATTAAGAAAGAAGTGAGCGCCGGAGGCGGGCGGGTGAGTGAGTGGGGTGGGATGATGGGGTGTCCGGGGAAGCCTTGACGATGATGGGAGTTTGTGCTTTTTGTGTCCCAGCATTGGGTCCGCCCGCGTCCTGCGTGCGCTCGCACGAAAGCGTCGCGCTGCGACGACTCGCGTGTTGGCGGCGGGGGGGGTAGAAGGTCGCCTCCTTTCGCGCTCTGTGCGTGACACGCGGGGCAGCTGCGTACGTTGACAGCTTCGCGAGCCTCTAAATATGGAACGGGGGGGGGGGAGTATCTGGCATTATACATTTATCTGTGTTGTTGTTCCCACCCCCACCTCCACCCCCGCTTTCTCGTTTGCCGGCCACTCTCGGAGTTGAAGTCGTCCCGAACCCACGCTTGCATCTCGAGGATTTAAATCAAATATGTTTGTGTTTAAAGAGCGATGACGTTAATACGGGGGAAAGGGATGGGGTGAGCTTTGAGAAGTGCGCTGGAGACGGGAGAGATAGTCAACCGAGTGGGGGTGGTGCGGTGGCCACGCTGGGTCGTCACTGCACGCTTCGCGTCATCATTTATACATTAATTGCCCCCTTCATTATTTTCCCAATATCACAGCGATCGCAACGATGCCCTCTCTGCCTGGACGCGAACATGCGCAGTCCCTCTGACCAAGCCGGGCGCTCGGTGCAACAACGTGCACACAACACATATGGATGGCCACCCGCTAAAATATGTTCGGACATTTCCATGAGAGCCCATTCATGCTTGGGCAAAATGACAGAAATTTTTCATTATTATTATGGTGGAGGTAAGGGTTTGGGAAGGTGAACTAGGTGAGTCGTAGTGCAAGCGTTATTTTAAATATTCTTAGAGTTTCTTATGCAGGCGTGCTCATGAAAGCGCATACATGTTGCGGTTGTTGGAATCCCGTCCCTGAACCTCGTGGAAATGGGCTCGTTAAACTACTCCCAATGAAGATGGCGTCAAGTACGGCGTTGTTTTTGTTTGTATATCTACTGCTGGATGAAGGCCTTCATCCAAGGCTCTGTGGGTTGGTGGGGGTTACTTAATCACACACTGGTTACAGTGTGGGTTGGTGAAGGTGGGTCGCACAGATGTGGGGTTGTCGAAGTACTGCACAGGACGGCATTGGATTTTGATGCATTGCCCTTTGCTGCCCGGTTTTGCAGCCTATAACACCTGTTATGCACGGTAGTTGTCCACCCAACTGCTATTCGGGCTGAGCTCCGGCTCAACTTCTGTGATTCGACAAGATTCGTCATATTCTGAGTGATTTTGTCACAGCTATTCACGTATGACAGGTTTCATAATATCATCGTCGTCACCACCACCATCACCAAAATGTAACATGGGAAATGTGTATCAAGTTTTGCTTTAATTGAGTCGCTTCGGCACGCTGTAGCCAGTGGAAACAATGGCATCGCTTAGTTACGTTCGAGTTGTGGACATTACCAATATCTCATCATAGCTGTCAACCCATACGGTTTACCCGTATTCTTGTATAGGGAAATTTGAGTTTTCAGGTCCATACGGCATACAGCCGTTTCAATACGGGCAAATGTTTTTTTGTCCATTTGTTTGTGCTTCTCTCCCTTATGATGGGGCTTTGTAGGATGAACGTTGAGACTTTTCAGGGGCACGGGATGATCAATAAGAGTCTGAATTGGTCTGTAATGCGGTATGGCACTAATACGGGGTTGACAGGTATGTCTCATTATCAGCAACAGCAACAGCGACAACAGCGGCAGTCTCTCACTAACATCGTGAGGCCCAGCTTCACGTGAATACAGGGTTCCGTGTTGCCTTGTTTGGAAGGTTTCTTCAGCCGCTCATAGGTTGGCCATTTGAGCATTCGGCGTTAGCACCGAATACTAAGAATCCTCAGTGGCTTAGTTTGGTTTAAGGCGCTCACGATG